AGCATCGTCCTGTGATGCCTCGCTTAACGATCACATTACTTAATGATGAATTTTCCAGTACAGGTACTCCTTGACTTACGATTGCAATGGAGATTGTTGTTGCTAAATGAGAAATTTGTTAAGTGAGTTTTGCTCAGTGGTGGGATTCAAATAATTTAACAACCGGTTCTCTGCCCTAATGACCAGCTGGGTAGGCATGGCTTGGTGGTCATATGACCATGTGGGCATGGCCAACTCAACATTACTCACGTCGATGAGCGCTTCGCCTTAGCTGTTACAATGTTAATAAGGGTTAACCAGAGAGGCAGTTTCTGTAAGCAGGGCAATAAAGATTAGGCTAGAAACAACACCAGAATGTTTCCTTCCTGCCTTCCTTACAGGATTAGCCCTATAAAGTGGGGAAAAAAACCAAAATAAGATTTTTTTCTAACAACCGGTTCTCTGAACTGCTTGGAAAATTAACAACCGGTTCTCCTGAATAGGTGAGAACTGGCTGAATCCCACTACTGGTTTTGCTCCATTTTACGACCTGTCTTGCCCCAGTTGTTAAGTGAATTGCGGCAGTTGTTAAAATTAGTAACACCGTTGTTAAGTGAATCTGGCTTTCCCCATTGACTTGGCTTGTCAGAAGGTTGCAAAAGGGGATCACTTGATCCTCAGACACCACAACTGTCATAAATGTGACAAGACCCCTTGTCAAGCATCTGACTGTAAATCATGTGACCCCGGGGGATGGTGCAACAGTCATAAGTGTGAAAAATGGTCATGTCACTTTTTTCAGTGCCATTGTAACTTCAAAGGGTCACTAAATGAACTATTGTAAGTCGAGGACTACCTGTACCTATTGTGATCATAAATTGAGGACCAAAATCTTACAGGGCCTAAATCAAGGGTGGGCTGCTGGGGGTTCGCAGGGGTTCGGGAGAACCTCTAGCTAAGATTCTATGCAGTTCAGAGAACCTCCAAATCCCATTCCTGGCTGGCCCCTCCCAACCCACCCCACCCCTCCCCTCCCAGGAGTCCCCATGTGGCCCGTTTTGTATGCAGGTAAATGCAGGGCATGCTTGGAGGCTCCGGGGTGTGTATGAAAAACGGGCCTACCGGAAGTTCGGGAAGGCCAGAAATTGGCCCATTTCTGGCCTCCAGAGGGCCTCCGGAGCCTGGGGAGGCCATTTGTGCCCTCCAGGAAAAAATGCCCCCCCCCCCCCGTGGTGCAGGAGGCCGATTAGGCCCTGCCCACAATAGCCACGCCCACCCAGCAACCAGGCAGAGAACCCCTTGCTAAAATTTTTGAAGCCCACCCCTGGCCTAAATTGTTATGCCAACAAAGTACAGCAATGAGACACATACTAGATCTGGAGGCCCTTTGTCCAACTCAATTCTAAATGATGCACACTTCTCCTGCATTGTTGTCACACACTAATTTTGAAGGGGGCAAAAAAATCTTGGCCACCAAAATTATCCAGACCGACAGCTTTTCGATGCCTCTTCCTGGCCCCACACCTCCCCCAAAGCCATCATATGGTTTGTTGGATTGAAGTTAATGTAAATATGAACCCACATCATCGTGGCCATTTAATGCCAGGCATGAGCAATCCCTGTCAAAAATTAATAGTTTCTTTTTTTTCCCTGCTATTTAATACTCTGGGTTTTGTGCCATTCAGTATCAAAATTGCAGTAGAAAGTTTTTGAAAAGCCAAGAAAATTCCTTTCCAAGTAATAGGGAACAAAATAAAAATCCCAGCCCTGATAGCTTTTTGTGAAAATCCCACCCACTCATCTTGGATCACGACTCCTCCCAATGAATTCTGCTCCCTCCCCAACAGCAAAGCCTATTCACTCAAATATATCCCATCCCTGCCTTAGATAGGGTGAGGAAGCCAATCCCTTGTGGTTGTTCGGCCCAAACCAGGGGTGAAATCCAGCAGGTTCTGACAGGTTCTGGAGAACCGGTAGCGGAAATTTTGAGTGGTTCAGAGAACCAGCAAATAACATCTCTGGATGGCCCCAGAGTGGGGAGGGAATGGGGATTTTGCAATATCCTTCCCCCAGGAGGGGGGAGGGAATGGGGATTTTGCTGTAGCCTTCCCCTGGAGTGGGGTGGGAATGGAGATTTTGCAGTATCCTTTTCCTGGAGTAGGGTGGGAATGGAGATTTTGCAGTATCCTTTTCCTGGAGTGGGGAGGGAATGGAGATTTTGCAGTATCCTTTTCCTGGAGTGGGGAGGAAATGGGGATTTTGCAATATCCTTTCCCTGCCACGCCCATCAAGCCACGCCCACAGATCCAGTAATAAAAAAAATTGGATTTCACCACTGGCCCAAACTGATTAAAATTAAAGCCATCAGATTTAATGACACAGAGTATTAACAATAACAAGAAGAACCACAATAAAGGTTTAAGGATCAGAAGTTTTGTTTGAGTGACCCATTGCAATAAAACAAAATGTACCAATCAAAGAGAATATTTGGAGCTCAAAGTTGGAATGAGGAGATCCTTGGTGCTCTCTGAACTTGCTTAGTTTCTTGCAGACGTCTCATTACCAAACTAGGTAACATCATCAGTACTAGTTAAGAGTGCTGTTTTGCTGCCAAACCAAACTGTGATTTCCTTGGTTTTAATTTAGAATACTGCATGAACCTACCCATTAAAACCGTATCACTAGAGACAATCAATCTGGTCTAGTAGATTAACGCATCAGGCTAGAAACCCGGAGACGGTGAGTTCTAGTTCTAGGCAGAAAGCTGGAGGGGTAACTTTGGCCCAATCACCAAGAACCCTGAGCTTTAATCCTGCCTTAGGCATTACAGGTGGTTGGGTGACTTTGGCTGGACACTCTCTCTTAAAGCCAACTCACCTGAAAAGGTTGTTGGGGATTTTGGGAGAGGAAGGAGCCTTGGTGGAGCAGTGGACTAAAGTGCTGTTAAGTAGCACTTAGTTGCCAGCTGCCTGCAATTACTGCAAGTTCAAATCTCACCAGGCTCAAGGTTGACTCAGCCTTTGTGGAGTTGGGATCGTAGAAACACCCAGGAGCATAGAAGAGTTCAGAGGCAGATGCATAAATAAATGTCTTAAACGTATTTATTCATATGATAAATCATATTAACTATGTACAACAGAGATCAAGTCTCATGAGGAACAAACATGAAAAGAGGGTGATGGAGAAAGAGAGGTGGAAAAGGTTGGAGGGGGTTTTATACTCAGGGTAAGCCCCTCCTTTCCACATAGGGGTGGAGGCACTCTCTACCGCCACTGGTGTTTATATGACACATGTGCCAATGGCCTGCAAATACTTGACAGCCTTCCATCCTTCTGAGGTAGGTAAAATGAGAACCCGGATTGTGGGGGCAATAAGCTGACTTTGTATAAAAAAAGAATACTGCTTGGGGGGGCCGAAAGCCCTACTAAGCAGGTATATACAAAAGTATGAAGGCTATTGCTTAACGTATTGTAAGCCGCCCTGAGTCTCCGGAGAAGGGTGGCATATAAATCGAACTAATAAATAAAATAAATAAATTAGTATGTTAGCTGCCTTAAGTTACTTATAAAGTTGAGATAACAGAATAATGGAGTTGGAAGGGACCTTGGAGGTCTTCTAGTCCAGCCCCCTGTTCAGGCAGGAGCCCCTATGCCCTTTCAGACAAACGGTTGTTCAGTCTCTTCTTAAAAATCTCCAGTGTTGGAGCCCCCACAACTTCTGGAGGCCATTCCACTGATTAGTTCTAGATAAAATGCTAATCAATAAAGTAAATATATACCAGTAAATAAATAAACGTCTCAGTCCCGATTATCACAAGCTGGTTTACTGACTCGTTTGCCATTGGTCTGCGCAGCATCCTAAGTCATAAATCCTTACACAAACCGTTACAAAGCGGGACTCAGAATACGTTAGACCACAAGCAAGCTGCTGTTTGGCTCATTGCAAAAACAGCTGACTACCGTAGGCACTTTTCACAGCCTGTTGCTTTTCTTGCAATGCTTCAGTGCAGTGCAGATGAAGGACTTCTCTCTCTCTCTCTCTCTGTGTGTGTGTGTGTGTGTGCATCTGTGTCTGTGTCTGTCTCTGTCTCTGTCTCTGTCTCTGTCTGTCTGTCTTGCCTGGGCCATTGATGCAAAGAGACTAGCACAGTCCTCAGACCTCCACCAAAGAAAGACTTTCCCTTAGATTTGGTAACCTCTAAGTTACCTTACAGACCCCAACCAGGAAAGTCATTCCTGCATTCACACACACCAGGTAGGGTTTACCTAACGAATCCATTTTTTGGACATTGCACCAGACCATGGACTGCTCTGAGTTGACACCATGCTTTTTACTCTTCCACCCACATCCCAAAGCCAAGCCAACTGAGTGCAATGAATGCATACAACTCTCTCTGTCTCTGTCTCTGTCTCTGTCTCTGTCTCTGTCTCTCTCTGTCTCCCTCCCTCCCTCCCTCTCTCTCTTCTCCCCCTCTCTCCCCCGCTCTCTGTCTCTCTCTGTCTCTGTCTCTCGCTCTGTCTCTCTCCCTCTCTCCCTCTCCCTCTCTTCTCCCCCTCTCTCCCTCTCTCTGTCTCTCTCTGTCTCTGTCTCTCCCTCCCTCCCGCCTCTCTGTCTCTCTCTCTGTCTCTGTCTGTCTGTCTCTCTCTCTCTCTGTCTCTCTCTTCTCCCCCCCCTCTCTCTGTCTCTCTCTCTGTCTGTCTGTCTCTCTCTGTCTCTCTCTCCCTCCCTTCCCCCTCCCTCTGTCTCTCTCTCTTTCTCTCTCTCTGTCTCTGTCTGTCTATCTGTCTGTCTGTCTGTCTCTCTCTGTGTCTCTCTCTCTTCTCCCCACTCTCTCTGTCTCTCTCTCTCTGTCTCCCTCCCTCCCTCTCCTCTCCCCCTCTATCCCTCTCTGTCTCTGTCTCTCTCTCTCTTCTCCCCAGCGCCTCCCCCTCCCCAATCCCCAGGGCCTGATCCCTGCAGCTTCTGCCCAGGTCCTTCGGCCTTAGCACCCTCGCCTTCCTCCTCCTCCTCCTCCTCCCCACCTTCTGCAGCCACTGGGTGTTGTTCTCCATGACGGTCTCCAGCTGTTGCAGTCGCTGGACGGGCCACTGGGCTTCGGCCATGGGCGGCGCATCCCTCTGGAGCGAGTTGGACACTTGGAACGGGACGGCGGCGGCAGCAGGAGGGGCCGCGCCATCGCAGCCCCCCAGCTCGGGCAGGAGGAAGGTGTAGGTGCAGGCTCCGTGTTGCAGGCGATGCTGAGAGCGCTCCGGGGCTCCCTTGCCCAGCACCCGCGGCTGCATCCCTGCCCAGGCGGCCAGCAAGAGATACGCCAGGACCTTCCAGCTTCTCATCCTGACTTTCCTCGGCGGGACCTGCAGGCAAACTCCTCCGTGGTTTGCAATGGGTCTGCCTTCCTCCTGACAAGTCCGGACGCCTCCTGCGGGCAACGGGAGGATGGAGAGTGGGGGCTTGGAGCCCTCCCACCCTCTCCGCCTCTTCCCGCCCCCTCCCTCCTTTGCCGCCCCCCCCCCCTTTGCTGGCCTTTGGAAGCCCGCCCGGGTCGCTTGGCTGGCTGAATCGAGCGAAACCCGCTTCGCAGAAGATCGTTGGAAGGGTCAGAACACGCGCTCCCAAGTCAACAGCCCCGGCCGGGACCTTTCCGCCTTGTTCCAACGAACGGGTGCCTGGCAAGGTTGGGCCGGTCAGGAATCGCCGGGAAGTCAGGATGTTGGCTGCGCGGAAATTATCCGGAGTTTGTGGGGGGGGGGGTGAAGAAGAAACTTGAGAAGCCTCCTCTCCCGATGGGGCGTGAGAATAGGATAGGGTAGGATAGAAATTAGGAATAGGATAGGATAGGATAGGATAGGATGGGATAGAATGGGATAGAATGGGACAGAATGGGATAGGAAAGGATAGAGTGGAATGGAATAGAATAGAATAGAATAGAATAGAATAGAATAGAATAGAATAGAATAGAATAGAATAGAATAGAATAATAGAATAGTTTAACAGAGTTGGAAGGGCTCTTGGAGGTCTTCTAGTCCAACCCCCTGTTTAGGCAGGAAACCCTACACCACTTCAGACAAATGGTTATCCAATCTCTTCCTTAAAACTTCCAGTGTTGGAGCATTCACAACTTCTGGAGGCAAGTTGTTCCACTGATTAATTGTTCTAACTGTCAATAAATTCCTCCTTAGTTCTAGGTTGCTTCTCTCCTTGATTAGTTTCCATCCATTGCTTCTTGTCCTGCTTTCATGTACTTTGGAGAATAGTTTGCCTCCCTCTTTTTTGTGGCAGCCCCTGAGATATTGGAACACTGCTATCATGTCTCCCCTGGTCCTTCTTTTCATTGAACTAGACATACCCAGTTCCAGCAACCGTTCTTCATATGTTTTAGTATATAACATAATATGCTAAACATAATAACATTTAAGAAACATGGACAATAGCAATAGCCCTTAGACTTATATACCGCTTCACAGTGCTTTTACAGCCCTCTCTAAGTGGTTTACAGAGTCAGCATATTGCCCCCAACAATAATCCTTAATATTTGCAGCATTTAGATCAATACTTATGGTCGCAACATAGAAGTCTTACCAGAATGTCAGCTCCCTTAAGGTCAATTGGACCACCAAATTCAATTTCTATGATGGCTGCTCAGCTGTCAGCAGCATCTGGAGTTCAGCAGGACTGGACCTGTTTGGATGCTTGGATGGGAAGTTTACTCACCTGGAAATCCCAACTTGTAGGCTAGGAAAGTAAAGAAACTTTCCCAAAAAAGGATATGACAAACCATCTGCACAGTTGCCAAAAAACCCTATGTGGGCCTTTCATATAGGATTTGAGTTTGACTGGAGGAATTTAAACAAGATTCTGCTGCATTTTTAAAAAGTAGTGCAATTTATGGTCCAGACTCCCAGAAGCTGTTGAAACCCACATCTGAAATACTGAGGACAAAAAGTGCCATTTCATCACTATCCTGCTCTCAATTACTGTAGGATTTGGAATAAAAAAAGAGAATAAAATAAATTGCTTACCCCTTCCAACCACACTCTTATTTCATAAAGGATATTTGCCTAAGCATAGCCCCCAAATCCCATCAGTTCCTATGGGAGGTGGTGCTGCAGAGCTGCCAAGCCCCCTTTCTTCTTAAAAGACCCATGGAAGCAGCTGAGTTATGAATGATGAATTATGACTGCAATTGAACCCAACATTTCTGCTGCTAAGCAAGATAGTTGTTGAGTTTCACTCCATTTTGCAACCTTTCTTGACACAGTGTGAATCACTGCAATTGTTAAGTTAGCAACATGGTTGTTATGAGAATTTGCTTATCAAAAGGTTGCAAAACTTTTGACCCCAGGACACTGCAATTGTCATAAATATCAGCCAGTTGCTAAGTGTCTTAATTCTGATCCCACGACTGTGGGAATGTTGCAACAGACGTAAATGTGAAATAGTCATCAGTTATTTTTTTTCAGTACCGCTGTAATTTCAAATGGTCATTAAATGAATGGTTGTTAGTCGAGGATTACCTATACAAGAGCAATAGTGGCGCAGTGGTTAGAATGCAGAATTGCAGGCTACTTCTGCTGACTGCTGGTTGCCAGCAGTTCAGGCGTTTAAATCTCACCGGCTCAAGGTTGACTCAGCCTTCCATCTTTCTCAGGTCAGTAAAATGAGGACTCAGATTGTTGGGGGCAATACGCTGACTCTGTAAACCGCTTAGAGAGGGCTCTAAAGCACTGTGAAGCGGTATATAAGTCTAAGTGTTATTGCTAGTGCTATGCTTGAGTTTCAATCAGCCACCGTGGCACCAACTAAAAATTGAATCAGCTCTCAAAACTAGCCACTGTTATGGGGACAGATGGGTCTGACTGAAATCTGGTTCAGAATTACTTTGTAGCAGTGATCTCATTTTACACAGGGTATATAGGAAATCCGCAACTTACAACCATTCATTTAGTGACCATTTGACGTTGCAATGTCATTGAAAAAAAAAGTAACTTATGACCAGTCCCCATACTTACAACTGTTGCAGCATCCCTATAGTCACATGATCAAAATTTGGCACATGGCAACTGGCATGCATTTTTGATGGTTGCTGCATCCAGGGGTGGGCTTCAAAAATTTTAGCAAGGGGTTCTCTGCCCGGTTGCTGGGTGGGTGTGGTGGGCGTGGCCTAGTCAGCCTCCTGCACCTGGGCGGGGGTGGAGGGTGTTGCCCTCCCTGGGTTCCGGTGGTTTTCCTCTTTTACCCAAAGTGGTAAAAGAGAGAGAAAAAGATCTTCACATGTTCAGCTTCATCATCAGAAAGGGATTCTAAGCATATTAATTGAGCTTTTAAGAAGAGACTGGACAACCACCTGTCTGAAATGGTATAGGTTCTCCTGCTTGAGCAGGGGTTGGACTAGAAGTCCTCCAAGGTCCCTTCTAACTCTGTTATTCTGCTTGCCTTCCTTCCTTCCTTCCTTCCTTCCTTCCTTCCTTCCCTTCCTTCTTTTTCCTTCCTTCCTTCCTTCCTTCCTTCCCTTCCCTTCCCTTCCTTCCTTCCTTCCTTCCTTCCCTTCCTTCCTTTTCCTTCCTTCCTTCCTTCCTTCCTTCCCTTCCTTCCTTCCCTTCCTTCCCTTCCTTCCTTCCTTCTTCCCTCTTCTTTTTCCTTCCTTCCTCCCTTCTTTTTCCTTCCTTCCTTCCCTTCCTTCCTTCCTTCCTTCCTTCCCTTCCTTCTTTTTCCTTCCTTCCTCCTCCCTCCCTCCCTTTTCTTTCTCTTTTCTCTTTTTTCTTCCTTCCTTCCTTCCTTCCTTCCTTCTTTTTCCTTCCTTCCTTCCTTCCTTCCTTTCTTCCTTTCCTTCCTTCCTTCCTTCCCTTCCTTTCCTTCCTCCCTTCTTTTTCCTTCCTTCCTTCCCTTCCTTCCTTCCTTCCTTCCCTTCCTTCCCTTCCTTCCTTCCTTCCCTTCCTTCTTTTTCCTTCCTTCCTCCCTCCCTCCCTCCCTTTTCTTTTCTTTTTTCTTCCTTCCTTCCTTCCTTCCTTCCTTCTTTTTCCTTCCTTCCTTCCTCCCTTCTTTTTCCTTCCTTTCCTTCCTTCCTTCCTTCCCTTCCTTCCCTTCCCTTCCTTCCTTCCTTCCTTCCCTTCCTTCCTTCCCTTCCTTCCTTCCTCCTTTTTCCTTCCTTCCTTCCTTCCCTTCCCTTCCCTTCCCTTCCTTCCTTCCCTTCCTTCCTTCCTTCCTCCCTTCCTTCCCTTCCTTCCTTCCTTCCTTCCTCCCTTCTTTTTCCTTCCTTCCTTCCTTCCTTCCTTCCTTCCTTCCTTCCTTCCTTCCTTCCTTCCTTCTCCATCACTGGAAGTTTTTAAGAAGAGACTGGACAGCCGTTTGTCTGGAAAGATATAGGGTCTCCTGCTTTTTTTTAATTATTATTTGATTTATATGCCGCCCTTCTCCGGAGACTCAGGGCGGCTTACAATGCGCTCAGCAATAGCCTTCATCCTTTTGTATATTTATACAAAGTCAGCTTATTGCCCCCACAAACTGGGTCCTCATTTCACCTACCTTAGAAAGGATGGAAGGCTGAGTTGACCTTGAGCCTGGTGAGATTCGAACTTGCAGTAATTGCAGGCAGCAGATGTAAGTGGATGTTAATAACAGTGCTTTAATCTGCTGCGCCACCAAGGCTTGAGCAAGGGGTTGGACTAGAAGACCTCCAACGTCCCTTTCAACTCTGTTATTCTGCGATCCTTCCTTCCTTCCTTCCTTCCTTCCTTCCTTCCTTCCCTTCCTTCCCTTCCTTCCTTCCTTCCTTCCTCCCTTCTTTTTCCTTCCTTCCTTCCTTCCTCCCTTCCTTCCCTTCCTTCCTTCCTTCCCTTCCTCCCTTCTTTTTCCTTCCTTCCTTCCTTCCTTCCTTCCTTCCCTTCCTTCCTTCTTTTTCCTTCCTTCCCTTCCCTTCCTTCCTTCCTTCCTTCCTTCCTTCCTTCCTTCCTTCCTTCCTTCTCCATCACTGGAACTTTTGAAGAAGAGGCTGGACAGCTGTTTGTCTGAAAAGGTATAGGGTCTCCTGTTTGAGCAGGGGGCTGGACTAGAAGACCTCCAAGGTCCCTTCCATCGCTATTCTAATTGATTGATTGACTGAGTTTGTCATTTGCTCACTGATCCTGCTGTGAAAATTTCTTTGAATCTGTGAAATGTTGTCCTGGGTGTGCCTTTGGAGTGTGGGGCAGGTTGTATAGGCACCTCCCCAGTAATTTCATACTTTCTGCAGAATAATTCAATAGCACTTCCGTATTAACCTTCTGGCTGAATAAATGACCACACTGTGCTGTATAGGTAGTCCTCAGCTTACAACCATTTCCTTAGTGACTGTTTGAAGTTCACAACTGAAAAAAGTGATTTATGACCATTTTTCATGATCAACTACTGTATTGCAGCATCCCCACAGTCATGTGATCAAAATTTGGACGC